TAATAATAATAATAATAACAATGATGATAATGACGATAGTAATAATTGATAATAATATTAATAGCAATAAAAAGTGAAGAAAATTGTGCTAAATGCGAAAAAATAGTTGTGATGTGTTGATCATACTATAGTATGATGGTGGGGCTGAGGTGGGTGGTTCCTCGGTCTGTGAAAGTCCCTCCCTGGTTCACCTCTCTTTCGAATTCCTGGATCTGCCACTGTTCATTTATTATATAATTATTTTGGCGCTTATTTATAATGCGTCTATTGCAATTCTCACATTATCCTCTCAAACAATCCTAAGAACGTTCGGAGTGCGCTACTTCACAGAGGGATTTGCCCCCCCCCCTGACCCCGCCGGGGTCATACATAATTCGCATAACGGCTCCCCCCCTTTCAAAATCCTGGCTACGTCCCTGCCCGATTGTCCTACTAAATACCACACAGATCATGGGACCACAGGCCACCACACAGAACCACACGGATGCAAAAACAGGGGCAGATCCGAAATTTTTCAAACCTGGGGGAACAACTTTAGGTTCAGAATAGATAAGTGAGTAGCACGTAGCATTAATATGCATTAAAATTTTAAAAATCTAGTGACAAAACAGCGGGCTGTGCCCCTACTGGATCCGAATACAGATCGTTTCGGTCGCGCTTCGTTTCGGTCGCGCTTCATTTCGGTCGCGGTTTGTTTTCAACAAATATATGGAGCGCCAATGGAGTTTCGTAACGCTAAATTTAATATAACTAGGCCTAATTATCATTGGAAGTTCGTCAATCGGTTTATCATACTTTTTATATTTATGTTTTGTTGTATTTCTAATAAGTAACAACAGGCTATTTAAAAACAAATAAAATTAATACTATTATTACTAAACTATCAATTAATATTATCGGACAGTTTTTATTTTCGTTTTGTTATGAATCCTTTCTACTGCATAACAAATACAGCAAATAAAATAAATACTAGAATATGATATGATGTTATATATTATTATTATTATTATTGTTATTTATTTCCATTGTATCTGGAAAAACCAGCCAATTTGTCATTCAAATTACTGTAACATTAGTTTATTAACAATTATTTTTATTAGTATTAAAGTTTGTTATTGTTTTTCGTTTCGTTTTATGAATCCTACGCTTTCTACTACATAACAAATACAGCAAATAAAATAAATACTAAAATAAGATATTATGTTATATATTATAATTATTCTTATATTATATTTTTTCAAATTTACATTGTATCTGGAAAAACCAGCCAATTTGTCATTTAAATTACTGTAACATTATAGTTTATTAACAATTATTTTTATTAGTATTAAAGTTTGTTATTGTTACTATATTACTGTATAACTTGGTGCTATTTTTCTTTTTTTACAGAAACAATGCAGATGTTACGAAGGTGTTTTTTGGTTCTTGCTACAGTATATATATTGATATAATTTTTATTAATGCTTGAATCAAATAAAAATCTATGGAATAAGTATAGTCAATAGATTAGTTTCTCATACGTTTTTTTTTCTTGTCTGTTACGTTTCCATTTACCATAAATGTTCTGATCATTTTATAATAATATTGTAGAGGAAATATGTATTTCCATATTTATATTTTCCATATAAAATTATCAATACATTGATAATTGCATGCGGTACATTTTAAAAGCCTTTTCATGCTTCTGTTATATTCATAAGCCCGAGAAAATCACTCAACTTGCTAGAAATATTTCTTTAGTTGCGTAAGTGGAGTATAATTGTGGAAAGAAACGTTTCCACATATTTATTGCCATGGTACTCTTAAGGCGAAGATGACACAAGGTTTGTGATTTCTTGTTTGTTTTATTTCCATTTTTGTAATTGCAAAGACAGAATTAGGCCAGATGCTAAAATAGACGACTAGCTATTTCTAGGTACAAACACGTACGCTGAAGCGCAGTTCACCACTTTATGCGTGTTCACCTACTTCATGAAACCAGTAACTTTGAATAGTCTGCGCTATAAAATAAATGGATAATAAAATATATATTTGTTATATGATTTCATGTGTAATGTAAATAAATAAGT